AGGGTATCAAACATATCCATGTCAGTCTCTACCTAAACCATGCCATGTGAAATCTTTCCTTTGTGACACCATTAAATGAGACCACCCTGTTTCCTGTGGCATCTCCTTTAGGAAGAACCCCGTCTCCAGTTCTGCACCCTCAAAGAATTCAGGCTCACTGGATTCAAGCTGGAAAGGCTCCCTCCTTAACCTCATAGATTCAGAATAGTCTAACTAGCTGCTCTGTGGTAGCCCAGGTCTCCCAGATTCTAGGGTCTGGTCCTCACCCTGCGGCTTTTGCCTTCCTGTTGAGAGTCTGGCGGGTGTGGACATGATGCTGGAAGGTCCAAGCCCTAGGTCTTGCTCCCAATGCAAAATACCAACTCTGGAGACTCACCGCAGCCAGTGAAACCTCAGGAAGGTTATGGGCACAGCACTGAGGACACTGTGAGTTCCCCCCCAAAAAGCACCTTCATGGGAGAGACCAGGAAGCCTCTGGCAAAGCAGCTTGCTCCATCGAGTAGGGCCTCTGCTCTTCGGCTCTGTGGATGGCTAAGTGCCCTCCTACAGGGGTTTCAGGACAGACATTACAGGCTCAGGAACACAACACGGAAAATGTGTAGGTTTACAGGGCTTAGCCTAAATAAAAGCTGCGGTCTCCTTAGGGCATGCAAGGTGCAGGCCTAAGGAACCAGAAAAGCTGCATTTTCTCCACCAGCATTCTTGGTTCCAAGGCTCTGGAGATAAAGATCATCTCGGTAACACCCCACCTTTGGTTAATCGCCTTTCACAGTCAAGGTTGAATTATCTATATTCTTCTGCAAACCCCACCTACCTGCACCTCTGCCAAGGAGAAGAATGCAAAAAGGAATATAGACGCACATTTTATTGGTAACAGCTCTAACAAAAGATTATGTTTAGGGAGCTAAAAGTAAAAGCTAAGATTTTATGTAATGGCCCAGCTAGTTTTAGTCCCTGCCGGCCCTGCTTACCATTTGTGAAGAGAAACTCACAGCTGGTTGCATTTTTTCAAGATTGTATCTAATTTAAGTTAACAGCAATAATGATAATAACAATAATAATAGCAATCACATACACAGCCGTTACTTTGTGCCAGGCACTGTCCCAAGTGCTTTACACATACATGGACATTTACACATACATGGACATTATTAGCACACTTGAGCCTCACTGACAACTCTGTGAGGTAGGAGGCAGCACAAAAGCATGGAGAGGTGAGGGTTCGCACCTCAGCTCACACAGGTCGAGCCGGCTGCAAACCAGGCAGCCTGGCTCCATGTCCACACCCTAAGCCACTGTGCTACCTGCAAACGGTGACAGAAAAGAACCAAAAGACTTAGAGTTCACTGTTCCGACCCCTGAGCTCCCTCTCCACGCCCCTCTCCAGAGGCAGCCATTGCTAGCCACCTCCAATTTGTGCTTGCAGAGACAGTCTGCGTACATCAGTATCCAGAAAGAAGGAGCGTGCGCTACTACACTGGGCAAATCTCTCTCATGTCCAAATAGGAGATATTTTCATCTTTTTAATAACTGTTACCAACTTTACTTTCCAAGCCCTCATGTGGATGCTTACACTGGTGAGCCAGAGACAAGGAGAGAGGAGAACTTAAAGGTCTCAGCTGAGGGTCCTTAGGGCTTTGCAAAATATTCCATCCACCCCAGTGGTTTTGCTGTCTGCTCTGCATGCGACCCTCAGCCTTGGCCTAGGTCTTTATTCTGGGGATTCCTTCTCCTTCCACAGGGTCTTTTCCCCTCTCCCCACTACCTTGCTCTTCTTCATAGCCTTAGAGAGTGGTACAGAGTCTGTGGAGCTGAGAGACTGGACTTCAGTGGGAACTGACAGTTGTCCAGCCTGGGAGTGGTCACCTGTCTCCTGGGGTCTGGCTGGTCTGGCCCTTTTCCAGCTGGGTGGAGAAGGTAGAACCTGAGGTAGGGGGTCTCAAGGCAGGGGGCAGCTGTGGTGTTCTCAGACTGAGTTTGTTTTCCCCAGGCCCCCAGCACAGGCCTCCCGCCTTGCCCAGACAGCCATGTATCTCTGTAGCTCCTGCCAGTAATAACTGCCTCAGCAATCCATGAGGAGTTTTCAACCCATGTCACAAAATCACACTCAAAGTGCCCTTAGGAGGGCACTTAGCCATCCACAGAGCCGAATCACACTCAAAGTGGCTTTATTTAAACAATAAAATTGACTTATTCTCATAACTCAAAAGCCTAGAGACAGGGTAGGCTTCAGATGTGTCATGATGCTGTGGGCTAGTCATATCCCCAAGGACCTGGTTTCTTTCCCTGCCTCATCTCCACCTTCCACAGAGTGGACTCATCCTGAGGCCACCTTCCTGAGGCAGGCAACGTGGCACCCACAGCTTCTGGAGCACAGGCTCTTCTCGCAAGGACAGCAGAAGAGGGGAGAGCCACCCCACCCCTCAATTTCTTTTGTGAGAAGTAAGGTTCTCTACTGTTTAAGTCAACGTCATTTGGATTTTTGTTCCATGCAGTTAAACTTAATCCTTATTTATAGACCAGACCACCACAATAGAGGCTGAAAAATGACAGATACTTTTCCAGCCTCCCTTGCAGCTAGGGTTTGCCATTGTGACCCAGTTCTGGCCCATGAGATAAAAAGGAAGGTCTGGTGGGGAGAAAGGTATGGGCAGGAGGTTCTAGAAAAGCTACTTCTTCCTGATGAAAAACAAGAACAAAAGAATACGTTCATGATGTAGAGCTCTGTTGCCACCCTGGCAACCTACCCCCTATATGTGCCTTTGGCAGCAGCAAGTGAAGATGTGATATTTGGAGCTATTCCATAGCCATGAAGCTACAAGTCCATGGACAAAAAGCCAACCAGCAGAGGATATCTGTGCAGAAGGATGGAGAGAGCCTGAATCTTTCAAAAAAAGATCTTTCAAAAAATCTTTTGAGATTGAAGAAAAGAATCTTTCAAAAAAAATCACTGAGTCACCAATCCACCCGAGATCTCCCGATCCAGATCGCTAAACAGTCCATGTTCAGTTAATGAGGTTTTCTATTACTTGCAGCTGAAAACAGTCTCTCACACACACAGAGGACAAAACACTGAAGTAAAATAAGGAAACTTTAATCTTTATAAAACCTGAAGGTGATAAATTCTCAAGAAGCCTACTACTATAACACTTGGAGGTGCTATGGCTTGAATGCTTTCGTTACCTACAAAACTCATGTGGAAACTTAATCCCCAATGCAATAGCTGGGACGTGAGGCCTAATGGAGGCATTTGGGTCATGAAGGCTCTGTCCTCATGAATGGATTAATGCTGCTATAAAGAGGACTTTTGGGGATGGGCTAGCTCTCTTCCACTCTTCCAGCACAAGGACACAGCGTTCCTCCCCTCCAGAGCATGCACCATGCAAGGTGCCATCTTGGGAGCAGAGACTGAGCCCTTGAAGGACACAAACCTGCTGGTGCCTTGACCTTGGACTTCCAACCTATAGAACTGTGAGAAATAAATATCTGTTCTTTATGTATTACCCACTCTCAGGTATTCTGACACAGCAGAGCAAAACACACTAAGGCAAGGGCAAGATGACTGGGTTCTGGAAGATGATTATGTGTGTCAGGCTGCCTCTGAGAGCAAGAAACAGAAAGTCCAGCTTCAACAAAGTTAAACAATAAGAAATAAGCTTCAGGATCCAGGTGGTCAACAATGTGCCACCAGGAACCCAGGGTCCTCCCCTCTCTCTGCTCCAGCATTCTTGAAATGGGCTTCATCTCAGGCTGCCAGCAAGACGGGGGCACTTACAGGTGGCACATCCAAACACGGCCACAGCCTATCAAGGGACTCCACTCTCCCCCTTGTCTTCTCCCTCCAGCTGGACTTTTTGCTCTTTTTCAAACAAGTCAGGTGGACTCCTGCCCCAGCCTCTGCACTTGCTGTTCCGTACACCCTGGCTCCCTCACCTCCTTCAGGTCCTCACTCACACGTCACACGTCACCTTTCCAGTGAGGCCGCCCTGACTGCACCATTTAAGATTACCACCGCCTCCCAACTCTCCATGTCCTTTCTGGCTTAATTTCTCTCCACAGCATGTAATTGCATCCAACACAGGGCACATCCCCTTGGCCTCGTTGACGGTCTAGGCCCCACCTCCGAGAAGGTGCTCCGCAGCAGGGCACAGATGTTTATCGTGTTGTTCGCCCTCATTCCCCAGGGCCTGGCAGAGCAGGTGTCCCATGAGGATCTGCAGACAACAGGAGAGACAAAGCAAGGGACGGAAAACATCCAGAAGTGGTGTGGGGAAGGAGGATGTTTTCCCATCACACCCTGGGCTCTGCTCATACCCCATCCACAATCAGTGCATGACTGGCCTCAACCAGCCACCCACAAAAAGAAGGGATTTCCTGTTGCCCCACTTGGGGCTGGAGTCCATGGGTGCTGGGCAGGGGTGGACCCCTGGACAAAGCCAAGGTGGAGAAATGGGTGCTAGGAGCACCTAGCAGTTCTCTTCTCTGACCCCTGGTTCTGCTGGGCTTTCTCTCCTGTCTGTGGCTTAAAAACAATGGCTATCTCCGTCCTTCCCTAAGGCCTGTCCTCACTTCACCCTGCTGGAATCCGGCTTCCATCCCCCACCCCCGCTCTTAACTCTGCCTCCCACCAGAGTTATAAATGGCCTGCTCGGTCTAAGTCCAATGGGCCTCTTGGGCCTTATCTCGCCCTGTCCTACTGGCCACTCGTCCCCCTTGAGGTCCTGGCGGCGCGGTGGGTGGGTGGTCACGCTAGCCCCAGGCTCCGCATCCCTGGGCTCCTTGCGGCCACCTTCAGCCTCCTCTCCAGCACCAGCCCTTGGGCGACCTCTCCCACTTCCACGGGCTTTGTGCCACAGTGACCGCCATCCACGCCACCTGCGGCTCGCCCCTGTCCCCACCTGTTCCCTCTTTCAACTTCTGGGAAATCATAGCCCTAATTCTTGGAGAATCCAAGTGGTTTTTCTCTAAAACCCCAGGGTTGCGAAATCGTAGCAATTGCAGGGCAGATGCCAAGTCAGGAAGCAGGGCCGGGGGTGCTGCGCGGGTGGCACCGTCGGGCCGCGCTGCCCGGTGGAGTCGTCCCCACAGCCCTCCCCAGACCCCCCCACGCGTCCCTCACCCCCGCCCCGGCCAGACAGCCCCGGCCCCGCGCCACGGAGGCGCCGCCGCGACCCGGCACCGAGCCGGGGCAGCGGGGAGGTGTGGAGGGGCCCAAGGGCTACAGGGAGCGCGGAGAGGGCGCGGCCGAGCAGGGACATGGGCTCCCTCCAGCCGGCCGTCCAGGGGGCGGAGGGGAGGGGCCCGCCACGGCCTTATTTCCGCGAGCGCGGGCGCCGCCCGCTCCGAGCCCGGGTCCATCGAGCGCCGCGCCAGCCCGTCCGCGTCCATGCAGCCCCACCGGCAACCGCCGCCCGCGCCCCAGCCAGGCGCCCGGCTGCTCGCGCTGCTGCTGCTGCTCGTCCTCCAGGCGGCGGCGGCGCCCGCTGCGTCCGGGGGCCCCGAGGACCCCAGGCAGCCGCTGGACGCGGGGCCCTCGCGCGGGCTCCTGCAGCGGGCGGCGCGCGCGGCGCTGCACTTCCTCAACTTCCGCAGCGGCTCGCCCAGCGCCCTGCGAGTGCTGGCCGCCGTGCAGGAGGGCCGCGCGCGGGTGAGTGCGCGCGCCACGCGCCTGGGCACGCGCAGGGGCGGCCGCGCATTGCGCCTGACGGTGACTCGGGTGCGCGCGCCTGCCCGCCCAGTGAGGGATCCGCGGGGCAGACTGAAGCGCGCGACTCTGGGAAGATCCGGGCTGGTGCCTCAGCGCCCCCGAGGTGTCCAGAGCGTGGGAGGGACCCATCGGTGCCCAGAATCTGCGGAAAGCTGGCTCGTTCCTTCCGGCAGTTACGAAGCTGTAGTTGTCCACAGGCCAGCGCTGTTGACAGTTCCCATACTTGGGAGAAAGATACAGGGGGAAATTGAGGAACAGGCCCAAAGGGCAACAATTAAGATTAAGTGTGAGAGTACCCAGAGTTTGCTGCTATGGGGTTGCTTACTGTGGGCGCGACCCACCAGTGGCTGCAGACGAAGTCTTGGGCAGGATTTCCAAAATCTAAACAAATTCCCATACCCTACCGCAGACAAGTATCTCTTGTTAATTGCTGGCCACCATGCAGGGGCTTCAGGATAACATGGTTGGAATTAACATGTAGCCCTGGGTGGGAGCCCTCTAATGCTGGCGTCTGCTTTAATCTAGTGGGAGTGAGTGAACCCAGGGCTCAGTCTTCTTTGTGAACTGAGTGGATGAGAAATTTGCAACCCGTTATTTGGTTGCTGGTTTCAAGGCACTGGCTTCTTGTGTGTGTGAAACTACATTTCTTTCATCCAATAGATTACAAACGTTGCAGAACTACATTGCCCCAAAGCTGCTCCTTCTGGCAACCACCAAATGCTCTACAAAGCATACACATAGCATACACATGTGTCTGCTCTACAAAGCAGACACATAGCTTCAAAGTATCTAGAATCAAGTATAGCATGTAAGTAGGCGGAGTTTAAAGTGTGGTGGTAGGATTTTCATTTGAGTGTCCGAGTCCTGGTATCAGACACAGCAGGAAAGGCCTTTTGGAAGCTCAGCCTTGGTTCTTGAAAGATTTATTCCTGCACCCAGCATGGCTAAATTTATTTAATGATTGAATCAGATTGATTCTAGAGAAAATTGACCTATTCTTGTCACCTTTTTAACAATGCTTGCTGTCTTGAGGGACAAAAAAGTTCAGTTTTACTAGTCCAACAGAGAAGTGAGGTAATAGAACTTGAGAGCTTTCTATCAAGGTCAGAGAGTAGACACCTCCCAGTGTCCAAAGAAGGCATCCCTGAAGGTTTGCCCCCCACCCGTTATCATGGAGAGGAATCCCTACAGAAAACCAAGCTCAGATTTCTAAAGTACACCAGTTTTCAATTCCAGGGATTTTTTTCCTTCCTTCCAAGACCATAAAAATAAAAAAAGAATAATCAAATGCTTTGAATTTTCATGCATTTAGTCACCTGCTTGGAAAAAAAATAAAATACTTGGCATCTTTCACAAAATGATCAAACTAGCTCTCAAAACCCAAGTAAGAAAAAATTCCCTTACTCTTCCATTACTGTTTTTTGTCTGCAATAGTATAATGTCCCTGAATTTTAAAGAGTTCCTCCCTTACCATTATAGCATCTGAGGGACAGTCTTGAGCACTTACTGTATACCAGGCACTGGGCTAGATTTTGTGGCCTTAATTCAAATTTGGGGTAGAATCATTAGGGAAGGCCTCTTTGATATTCATGCAGTTTTGAAGCACTCAGCTACCTGAATGAGGAGCACAGATGCAGCCTGCATGGAGCTTTCAGTGTGGTGACAAGGAATTTCTGCTTCAATTATGACAGGAGTCTTAGCATTAGCAAGAAGTAAAAAATGGTAGATCCCTAAAACTCGAGTTTGCACTGTTTATCCAATCTGTTCATTGTCAGGCTGAATGCTCAGTTGCTGCGCAGTGTCTGTTGTTCATCTGGGTAAGAGAAGTCTAGCTCAGGGATCCTTCCCCGTGCTGGGGGTCAGGGTACATGCCTTCGTAAAATGAGAGGCTGGGCCTAAGTCAGGGTTTTTCAAACTAAGGGCCTACTAATGGTTATGAAATCAATTTTAGGGTCCAATTGTTTTAGGTTTTTTATTATTAGAGTGCATTGCAAAAGCAAGGGTAAGTGGTGTCTAAAACTGTTTCTCACATATATGCATGAACTAAGTCATAATTAGGAAATAAGTTCTTACTATGAGTTGGAACTTAAAAAGTTTTGAAAGCCAGTGGACCAAACGATGTTTAAAACCTCGTCCAGCGCTGACATTCCTTGGTGTCCTTGATTCTGTGATTTCTTGCCTTTGCAAGAACTCCTGATTTTAGAAACACTATTGTCCTCTAGTGGTAGAAGGCAGCAATAGCTGTGGTGGTAAATGCAGTGAAGAATTAAGAAAGTGGAGTGGAGTGGACGGAGGGAGGGTTCTGTTTTGTTTTGTTCCTAATTGTAGGGAGAGATCACAGACCACAGCTTGTGTTCCCTCACTGTCCCCACCTGATGCCATCTCTTTCCTGGCCTTACACTACTCTTCCAAGACCAATGAGGTTTTTATTTTTATGCTGTCACATGGCACAGTTGCAATGGTGAGAGATTCTGGATGGCGTTGAGGGCTACCCAGGGTATCCTGGATCAGTCTTGCAATATTTCCCCTAGTTCTGACTATTCGAGGCTTCCCTTTACTCTGAGACAAGTCTCCTCTTGCCACTCAGCAAGTTCTGGGGACCACTGGCCCCTACCTGGAGCTGTCAGTGAGAGGCCAGCCCTTTACTAACATTTAGAGAGACTGGCTGAAGTCTTCACATGCACTTACTTCATGAGAAAGTCAACTTATTTGGGAATCAGCTGTTGTTTGAGGACTGGTCACTTAAGGTGAATGTACTCTGACCAGGCCAGGACCAACGGTTACAAACATACTTGAAACAGTTGACCAAAGTGCATGGGGGACAGGGAGGAGTTATGCCCATACCTTAACTGCTTCAACTTAAATTAATATTAAGTATAAATTTATCACCTATATTTTGATATAGGGCCTAGGCTGTTTAATTGGAGCTTCCTACAGTCTTTCTAGCAAAAAAACAACACGCCCATAGGGGATCATTTGTAATTTCCATTTTGGTTTCCTTACTGTGGAGTGAACACTTGCAAAGAATACAGTGCACAATCCTCTGCTTTTCTTTATTTTTTTTAATTTTTCTTCCCCAATCTTAACTCATCCACACCCAATTCAGCAGCAAAAGTTTTAGAGACTTGACTTCATTAATTCTTATAATGCTTTATAAAGCATTTAATTTGGATTTCATGGACATGAACTCTTCATTTGTGTCCACTCTTCCCCAGTTTACATAACATTTATTTATGTAGTTAGGTACTAAGTACACCCAGCTTAGGCAACTCTGGAAGCAAATCAGCTGACTTCGGGTAAGAACCAGGCCAGCCCACCAGGCAGGAGCCTGCGCACTTCCAGGGTCAGGCTACGTGAGGCTGACGGCACGAATAGAGCCTGTCCACTGGGCCACAGAGCGGTTAGGGGAGCACTTACTCTACTAAGAAAAGCTTTATTCCTTTATCACTCTTCAATCTATAAAGCACTTCAATACAATATAATCCATCTAATTACTGATCTTCTTGAAGTCTTCTCTCCATTAATATCAATAATTCAGAGGTGATCGTTCAGAATAGGAAAGCAAAATGTTAAGAAGGTCATAGAAAGAAAAACTGGAGAATTAAAAAGGCCGCAATGAGTATGGAGGGAGAAGATAAGGAATAAAATACTAAAGTGAAATATTCTTAATTTTCATGTAAGGAAACTCCTAAGTGCTTTTATAGCCATCATGAAGAACAGCAGGGAAGGAGATATTTGCAAGAACGAGGTCTTCTTTCGCACCCTCACACTCCCATGAGGATGAAACATAGCACTCCGGAAAGCACAGAACAGAAAGGCACAAACCCCCCTTCCCAGGCGCTGCTCATGCTGAAATAGCACAGTGTACCATGGTCTGTGCCCCGCCGCCCACCACGGCACGCCGTGGTCTGCAGGCTCTGATTGCATAGTCTGGGTTTAGCATGGAGCAAGAAAGGCCACCAGGCCTTGGGGGTAAAACTTTGACTTTGGCCTCCTTGGAACTTTGTCCTAATCACCTAAAAGAGCTGGCAGGTTGGAATGTTTTTTACCATCTTGTAATAAATCGTTTTTAAACTACAACCTTTTTTTTTTTTTTTACCAGCCCACAACATTTTCCACTTGGTTTTCTACATGTGGAGTCATAGGCAAGGATGCATGTAATCACAGAGCGTTAGTGATGCCCCAGATCAAGACCATCGGTGCTGCGTCGTGCTTGTTACCCATGGGGAGTCTGGCTTGGCTGCAACCTCTTCCTTTAAGAACCTGGGTTGTCCTGCTGGAGATTGAATATAAATAATCAGCCCTAAAATGAATGTATTATGAGGCATGGGAATGTTAAATACTCTCTCTGTCTCCCCCTCCATATCCACCCTGACCCTTGATCTCACTTTCTGTTAAGCAACGAATCTCCCAGGATGTGTCAATACTTTACAGCCTTGGCTTTATTTGCCTTTGTGATGGCGCCTCGATTGAGACAGTCCCAGCATGGCCAGGACAGCAGCCGTAACAAGTCTCTGAGCCGCTTGTTAGGGTTGGTCAGCACGTCTCTGGCCAGTAAAGTTGAACTCTGAAAGGGAGTCTTGTACCATAGCTGTGTACAAGAGGTGTGTGAACCGTGATCATCCCCAGGGCACGTGCCTACACAGAACATGTCATTAAGGATCACAAGTAATTCTGTATCTGCATTGCATCCTATCACTGCTGTAACACATCACCACAAACTTAGTGGGTTAACATAACACACATTTATTCACTTCCAGTTTTGTAGGTCAGAAGCTCAAAATGGGTCTCACTAGGCTAAAATCAAGGTGTCAGCAGGCAGGGCTTTGTTCCTTCTGGAGGCTCCAGGGGAGAATTCTTTGCCTTGTCTTTTCCAGCTTCTAGCGGCTGCCTGTGCTCCTAGCTCATGGCTCCATCCTCCATCTCGAAAGGCAGCAGTG